GACGCCGTCGGTGCCACGCCTCGAGCGGCCCGACCACGTCGGTCGCCGGCCCTCGGCGCCGCGGTGCCCAGCCTCCTCCTCCTCCACGCTCCTCTCCCTCCCGAGACCCGACGCGAGCAAGGCGGCCGTGTTCTCCTCGCCGGCGTTGTGCCGTCCACGACGCCACTCCCCTCGTCAGCTCCGCGACCGCGTTCTCCTCGCCGGTGTCGTGCGGTCCGCGACGCTAGCCGAGATTGTGTTGCCGCTTCCGCTGTTCCCCTTCGTTCCCCTTTTTGGCTGACGTGCTACGCCCTTTGCCGGAGTCGTCGGGTCCCAGAAGGACGGCCGGCTCAGTTGCGGCCACAACCCTAGTAATTCCGCCGTCCTTCCCCTCACCCGTTCTTCTTGGTTCGTCGCCAGCTTCAGTTCTTCTCAGGTTAGGTCTCCCATTTTCCCTTCCGGTTTACTCCTCATTCATTTCCTTGTTCTAGATCTGGATGATTTCTTCTTCCAATTAGCGATTAGTTCGCTCATTCGAATTCTTGTTTTGTTGATGGTGATGTGCTACAGGTGGCCCTAGGTGCTTGTGGTGGAAGTCGTGAGGGGCCGCGCGCGCGCTGTCCTGCTTTGCGTTTCTCACTCCGGCCAGAATCGGAACAGCGGTTCAATGGTTGAACGAGCTGCCCTGCATCTCTGACTCCTTTTCTTATCGTTTTCCTATCCCGTTCCTGAGCTATGTGCTGTGCCTGGAGGAGCTGCATGCTCTTTCTTTTTCCTTTTACGTTTGTGTTCTTCCTGATTGATCTTGTATATTCTATCAGAGTTTGGGTTTTTCGATGTGCTCCTTCAAATTGATTTTTTGCCGCATTTGGGTACTGTTCTCGTAGTCATGAATAGTTCAGATTGGTTCCTATGTTTCTTTATACTTGATTCGTCAAAATAATTCATTGTACATTTTTAATTACATATTAGATTGATCTGTTGGCTCATCAGTGTTGCTTCATTGTGAACTGCACCAAGGCATTGTAAAATGCTATATCATGGTCCCTGCCCTTCTCCCAAACCAATAGGTGCAGGTGGTAGGTGATATGTCACAGGCATCAGGTCAAATATTATTGTTTCTTATCCACGCCATCATGCTCCATATATATGCCCTTTACCTAGACACAGATTCATATGCATGGATATAATTCTAAAATCATTGATTTGGTGGTTCATACAGTTTATTTTTCTGCATTGCTATATGCATGGATATAATTCTAAAATCATAGATTTGGTGGTTCATACAGTTTATTTTTCTGCATTGCTATTTGCTCATATGTGATTATTACAGATATGGTCTGTTGATGGTTTAGCGATTGTTTGACCATGTTCCTTTTGTTATTTTTTTACAGGGTTCAGGTTTGCGGACACAAATAGTTCCAACAGCCTTGTCTTTTCAACAGATTCTCGTTTCAGAGCATTAGCGCCAGGCTTGTATTTTGCCTTCACTTTTTTTTCTCTCTTCCTACATAATATATTTGTGTTGTATGAATGAAAAACCTAGGAGCTTATTAGCTTGACACATGCATAGATTTGGATGACAGGCCCAGAACCAAGAGTCCAAAGGAGTAGGTAGGTCGCCAACTCACCATTGAGCCTAAACGTTTGTTTTATTGCTTGCAACTGCCCTCGTTATTTGTCTAAAACAATAGCCAAAGAACTATAAATATAGCACCAAAAGATAGCTGGACGACATTTTATGTACACCGGCTTAGAGATCAGCTACCGTGTATAGCTTTTCCACTATAAAATACTTATCCCAATTAAATCTTAAGAATGTTTTGTTTTCTGATAATAGGTACCTTAGTTTTCTTTGACATTTTCATATCACCTCATCGAATGCTTGGTACAACAAAGAGGAATAGAGCGACCTCAAAGTACACTAGAATTAAAATTACAGTGTGGTTCTCTTTGTCAGATTCGTATCCTTTATGTCGTAGGATTGTAAAATTCACCTCTCCCTACTCTATATGCACAGTGGTAAACCATGTGTTTCATCATCAAAGATACCCAGTTTAGTATACCTTATAACATTCAAGCTACAGTTCGTTTGACATATGAGTTGTGCTTTCGGCTCACTTAACACCATCCAAACCGAGTTGCATGGTTCTGGTGCAATGGTTTTTACTCAACATTTAGGCTACACTTCCTTTGGAAATGTTGGAAGCAAAAAATTAGTACCATGTACAGGGCTTATAATGATATATGATATGCATGGATCTGTTGGAGAGCTTGTGCGTAGGTGCGTACCAATCAGTTCTTTTGAGGAAACATATAGGTTGATGACTTTCTTGTACTTTTGTCCAATCTGTAATTTTCTATGTATATGGCCAGATACTCCTACAACATGATCAGGTGGTGATCTACAATATCTGATGATTACATCATAAATTATGTTTAACTTTTACACCAATGATCACGGGAGATCTTTCCTTCTTGTGTTTTTCTTTTTCTAGAATTGAGCCTATTTTCGGTGAGTTCCGTTCTTAATGTTTGACTGATTTAGTGTGTTCAAGTTTTATTAGAGTCAAATTGGGTTTGAACCCATTCCTGGTGAATTTTGGACAGCCTCCGTTTGTACACTGCATACTATTGTGCTTTTGAAACAATGGTTTTCATATACACAGCAATAGCAAAAGCAGCACTCTTCTAATTTTTAGAGCCGTGACTCCTTCCCAGCAACAGTTACCTACTCATTGTCCTTATCTAATTTTCCCACCTTTTATTGGTTTGTTTTTTTTTGGTGAATTTGAGAGTTGTTTAGTCAGCAGGCTTATGTACTGTTCCGAAACTTATTGAGAAGCAATAGTTGCCAGGCTGTTTTGGTTTCTCAGTCTAGCTGCAATGCAGCGTGTGCTGTTCCTCCAACCGCCAGATAGCTGCTGACTGAGTTTGGACAACAAGTTCAATCCGCTGAACCTGGTAGCTGCATCTCCTTTCAGTGTTTTAGTCATCGGGAGTAGTAGGATTTCGGTGGCTGCAATCTACCAGGAAAACATCAGTTGTAGCTAGGCCAATATTATCTATGCACTCCATAGCTTGTGTAACAAATTTTTACTATTCTGGAATTCCGAATATAGGTATCTTATTTGCATTTGCTTTTTTCAGTTCCTAATTCCCATGACTCTAGACAAAGGAAGTTATCAGTCATGGTTGATCCTATCCGTTTTACCTTGAATCGTTGCATCCATTGTAAAATGCTTATCTACTTTTACCTGTTTAAAACTGAAAGCTGAGTGCTGATCAGGTACTTCTTTGCATCCATCTAGAATCCACTGTTCTCTATTTTCATACATAAAAATAAATGTATTGTCTTCGATCTCCTGCTTGTTTCAAAGTTCTGCTATACACATATTAGAGGTTCATACTATGATAGTATAAGTCTTGAATTTCCATCGGTAGTTCTACATTTGCCTACCACATTAACAAGCAATTTATCCATTGCAAGCTTGGGATCAAAAGAACAAAATCAATGATGCTTTGTACATTCATTAAAATATTGTGTTTCTTGTGCTTACTCACACTTAAATTTGAAGGTCCCTCTTCATGACACTGGTTAACTGCTAATGTCGATTTATTGTACAGAGTATTGCTTCATCTGGTTGATCTGCTATTTTTTTATAATGCCTCTTCTGAGAAAATTACATTTTAAGTTTACATAAGCTAGCCTTGTATCTTGCTTCCAGTAATTTGTTAACATGGTGGTACACTCTATTTTTCAGAGAAACAAGAGGCAGTGAGGAAGCTGATGGAGACCTCAGGTATCTATGAATCTTTTCTAGATCTCTGAATGTCTTCCTCCTAATGCTACAGCTGTCATATCCTCCATTGATTATTATATGCCTTTAATACGTTGGGGCTAAAGAGAATTCAGGGTGTAGTTTTTTTTAGAGCAAGGTGGTGCTGGAGGTTTTGTCGGTATCAAATTGAAAAATCCTGAAATGAAACGTGTGTGTGCTTCTATGGAATAATTGCATTATGGTTCTACCTCTGCTTTCTATTAGGTAACTAAAGGTACCTGTACAGATAAAAAGCGGTATGCATTCCCATCAATTTTGTACCATTAAATGGTGCATTAACAACTGTGTTCCCTGGACTAAATATAGTGGCCTGATCCTATTCATGGCTGCTGATATGCAGGTTCTTTCCTTATCAGGATCTCGGGTTGATGATATTTGTAGCTCATTCTAAGGTATCCTGTTTCTTTGATGTTAGGTTCTCATAGTACATGCTCATTTCTTTTTATTAATCTTACATATAGTGCCGTGATCCTTTTCATGGACAAGTGCTCTGCCAATTTGAGTTTTTCAATGGTTCTTCCACAAACATACCATGTCACAATTCTTTGACTGCCTCATCCAATAAGAGATTGAGAAATGTATCATGATCCGGGTTAGGATTCGATTCCTATATTTTTTAAGATTCAACGCTTTTCCTTGTGTTCTATTTTTTTGATTTAAGAGGAATATATATCAACTGAGTTTAGGATAATAGGTACATTTAACTATGCCCAGCTTTACCCACTGTTAACATGATTTCACCATGATATGATATTTTATTACAATCTAGGTTTACCGTACACACATTATTCTTCAATTTAGTTTGCAAACAAATAATAGTACTGAGTCCTATTTTTTGCATTTCAGTATTGGCAGCCATTCATCAATAATTTAACGTACCCGCTGATCACAGCTTGCTAAGAGAACTTCCTATTTACATCAGCACCATCATGCATCGCCTATCACCAGACCTTCACCAGCACCACCACACATCAGCAGCGCTACTACCACCGAAGACAACTATTTGTGTACACCGGCTTTGAGATCAGCTACCGTGTATAGCTTTTCCACTATAAAATACTTATCCCTGTAATATATTTCAATAGACCTGTATAACCTCTGAACGTGCTACCGCGCGAGCGCGCGGAATCGCGCGCCAATCGACTAGTCCCAATAGCAAACACGTCCATCACCAAGAAAATGAAGACCGTGGTGGTCCTCTTCGTGTTGGTCCTCACACTCATCGGTGGAGCTGCTGCCGGTAAGAAGATGGCTGAGGCAAAGAAGGTACAAGAAGACACTTGCAAAAAATTCTGTCTAGACAAGAAGCTTAAGGAGCCGGCCTGCAAGGAGTCCTGCGCCCTCAACCAGCGCTTCAAAACGGTGTCGATCGAGAATTCTCAATGCTCGTTGAAATGCAGTGAGCAGCACGGCCTTGGCTCTACAGCCACCAGGTCTTGTGAAGAAGGATGCACAAAAAAGTACGAGGCTGAAGCGGCGGAGGTCACTGCTAGCTGCGACGCGGTTTGCAGTAAGGTGAAGGACCCGCATGGTATTGAAAAATGCAAGGAGATATGCACCCCGGCCCTCATCCTGAAGGCCTTGGAGGAGGCGTTCCAACGCGCTTTGCAGTAAGGCGGACGTCACCAGCTGGCCACATGTCTGCCCATATATGGTGGTTAATCATTTGATGGATATGGACCAAACTACCTATTAATTTGATATTTTCTTAGCTAATAATTATTTGCTTTTGTTCAAATCGCAATAAATCAAAAGATCCATTGATATATGGTTTCATCGACTGCTAGCTCGATAGGCAGTCCAATGTAATGTCACACGGTTGTAATTTTTCGTTTGACTAAATAAATAAAAGGGCATGTTGGCAATTACCGCTAAGTAGTAATCTTTGTCTCTATTTTCCACATTGGGTGAACGTCCATGATCATGCACAGATTTTCTTCTCTTAAGTAAACAATTTACAGATGTATGTGGCTAAGAAATTTTACTACAATCATAAAACAAAGAAACTAGTGCAAATAAGTTGGTGGATTTAGTAAACTAGAAGGATACCCCGCGTGTTGCTGCGGGACTCCCTTTAAAATAGAATCATTGCATGTATGAATTAGATCTATATGTCTTTGCATCAAAATCGAAATTGGGCATGACAATGAAAGAATTCAATAAAAAAATAAAAGAATTAGATTGGATTATAAGATGATGGAACGACAAATCAAATAACAAAATATGCATGCCTTAAATATTTCTTATATATTGAAAATAGTCATTATATTTAGTGGGGGTGATTATTGTAGAAATGTGGTAGGCAGTGAGGGTGAATCAGTCAACGCGAAAAGTTTATTTCATTATTTACTTTGAATCGATCAATGATATATATAACATTGTATTGCTTATTAAGTTGCCCAGTTTCACCTTTGGTCTATTTTCCCTTACTCCCTATTGTTGTCGCCAATATTGATGATAGAGATGCTGTCCTACAGTTCTATCTTTAACAGCAGCCCTTCTATCTTGTGAAAAGCGCAACTACGAATCTGCCGCAAGGCCACTCCGTGGGACACACCACCCTTTGTCTTCACCGGCGGGCTGCTGCGGATCTTCCTCGCACGCCAACCAAATCCTCTGCCCTAGAGATGTGGATGCCTTGTAATTCTAGGTAAGCTTTTGTTACTATCTGAACATGCGTATATCTAAACACACATAGCAAAAGGACAGTACTTAGAAAATCAAAAACAACTTATAATTTGGAACGAAGGGAGTAGTATGTATATCACTATTTCTATACACAACATTGCTTAAAGAAGTCTTGACATGGAGGCCCCAAATGTCAAGATTGGTGGCGACCAAGCCTCGTCATCGTATCGTCACTGATATGTGTTACTGCAAGCAAGCAAGCAACAACGTTACCTAGTACACATATGTGCGCGGAGTCCACACATGTCCATGCACGTAGCTAGGTTAGCTAAGTAGAAAATGCTAAGGGCTCATGTCCCTGTATTAGAAAATGGATAGCAGAAAGATAAGTACATACTCCTGAATAAATCAATTTTTAGAGTTGTCTGAAATTAATTTTTTCATATGTTTGACCTAATTATAGAGAGAAGCATAAATGTTTATGAAACCAAATAACACTAGTAGAGAACAGACCTTTGATCCTCGGCCAAAATGGGCTCTAGTCCCAAAAAATTTTATGCCCGGGACTAAAGGTAGACTTTTACTCCCGGTTGGTGGCTCCAACCGGGAGTAAAGGTCTACTCCCAGGCCGTGGCTGCGCCGGGGGTTGGAAAGTTACCTTTAGTCCCGGTTGGAGCCACCAACAGGGACTAAAGGTCCCCCCTTTATATCCCGGCCGTCTCTTTCTTCCTCCCCGAGCCCGAGCTCAGCACATTTTGAAGCTCACTGCACTAGTGTTCTTACTTCCTCCCTCTATTGTTCCTCCATCCATTCTTCGATTCCTCCGTCGATTTCTTCGATTCCTTCGTCGATTATTCAGTTGTAAAGGTTACCAATCTCATACTCTCATTTTTCACCATTGTCTTATCTCATTTTGTTCACTATATATATATGGTTCTTTATTGTGGTTTTTTTCATTTGTAAGCAATTTGACCTCAAAATCACTTCAAGCTTGCATATTTACATGAAAGAAGGTTAAAGTAGCTAGTTGAATTTGCGGACCGTGTTTATCTCGGCAAGTATGTTCTCTGCCGAGCGGTAACGGACGTCAAGGAGGAGCTTTGATTCTACGAGGGAGAGCGGCAACGGTCGTGGAAGACCGTGTTCCCTTCCTCGTAGAATCGGAGCTCTTCCGTGGCCAAGTACGGTGCCGTCCGATGGAGAAATGCTCGCCGAGATGATCACGTAAGCAAGGTCAACTAGTACGGATGGTTATTTATTCACACGTCCCAATATCGTCGCAGTAGTCTGTCAATCATCGTACCCAAACGTAGTATATATATAAATATAAACGATAATCGATTGTTATGTGTGTACACTCCCATTCTTCTGTTAATTTGCGGAAATATCATGTGAATTACTTACCTGCCGCAGTAAAAGACGAGAACACAATGACCATGGCCACGGCAAGCAGAGTAGTGTTAAACGCTCTGCAAACCTTTAAACTTCAAGCTTGCATATTTACATGAAGGAAGGTTAAAGTAGCTATTAAAAACTAGTATTCACCGTTCATTTGTACCATGCATAACACACTTCATTGTTTAGAGATATAGAGAATTTTAGAGTTTTTTTTAATTTTATTTGTTTATAAAATGAGAAATTTATAGTGTATTAAAAATGAGTATTGAGAGTAGATGGCAACTGCTTCCGGGTCCTCGGCCTCTCATGGGTTTCCAAAGCGACTTAGGCCGGGCCTCCCACTCATTGCATGCGACAAGTGTTGTGATGAGACGAAGATTATGATGGAGTACCGAGTGAAGAAGGAGGGTCCCAACAAGGGTCGCATTTTCTATAAGTGTCCGGATCGCAATGTGAGTTATTTTATCGTATTTAATGACTATGGTTAGTTTATACCTATTTTCATGATGGTTGTGATTAAAGTTCTAATTTTCTATTTTAATTTCAGTGGGATGGCACTGGATGTTCAGACTTGTACTGAGAGGAAGAGTATGTTGAACTCGTGCAAAAATATCTTGCACAATAGGCAGATATGGCGGCTAATGAGGCAGTGATCCAGCCGAAGAAGCCTAAAGATGTTGAACAAACGGGGGATCTGTCTGTTTTAGTTGGGATTAGTCGCGAAATACTTGTGCTGCTGAAGTGCATTTTAGCTTTAGTGTTTTTAGTGGTAGTTGGGATTGTCTACATTGTAGCGAGGATTTCTTAAATTTATAGCTTTTGTGGTGGTATGCATGTTGTATAATTAACTAATTATGTTCTAGGTTTTAATATGGTATTTATGTCATGTAACACAGATGAGTCGGCATTGGATGTACAATGCTGATCGTCGCTCCCAAGAGTTCATGGACGGCGTGCATTCTTTGTTACGTGCGACCGAGGCAAACAAACGCGATGGTTTCATGTGCTGCCCATGTGCCGTATGTAAGAATACGGTGGAATATCCTTGCTCAAGGACTCTTCATTCACACTTGTTCAAGTCGGGTTTCATGCCAAACTATATTTGTTGGACGAAGCACGGAGAAACCGGTGTTGTAATGGAAGAATGTGAAGAAGAACAATGGGACGACAATGATATTATTCTTGATGGTGCGTGCTTCAATGATACTGCAATGGGAGAAGCTGAAGAAGAGGTAGCCGCAAAAGATGAGTCTGCTGATGATCTTTGTCAGGTCATTCGTGACGCACAAAGAGAATGTGAAAGTGAAAAGGAGAAGATCAAGTTCGAGCGGATGCTAGAAGATTACAAGAAATTGTTGTACCCAACTTATGATGTAGGGCAGAAAAAGTTGGTAACCACACTAGAATTGCTGCAATGGAAGGCAAAGAATGGTGTATCTGACAAGGGATTTAGAGAGTTACTAAAAATCCAAAAGAAGATGCTTCCAAAGGACAATGAATTGTCCGCCACTACCTACGGAGCAAAACAAGTTGTTTATCCTATGGGGCTAGAAATCGAGAAGATACATGCATGTCCTAATGACTGCATCCTCTACCGTAGTAAAGAGTACGAGAAATTGGATGCATGCCGGTATGTCATGCATCGCAGTATAAGATCAAGCGAGATGACCCTGGTGATGTTGAGGGCGAACGTCCACGGAAGAAAATCCCTGCCAAGGTTATGTGGTATGCTTCTATAATACCACGCTTGAAACGTCTGTTCAAAAACAAAGAACATGCAAAATTGTTGCGATGGCGCAAAGAAGACCGTAAGGTAGATAATATGTTGAGACACCCTGCTGATGGGTCATAGTGGAGAGCAATCGACAGAGAATTCCCAGAGTTTTCAAATGACGCAAGAAACTTAAGGTTTGCTTTAAGTACAGATGGTATCAATCCTTTTGGAGAGCAAAACAGTAGTCATAGCACTTGGCCTGTTACTCTAAGTATCTACAACCTTCCTCCTTGGTTATGCATGAAGCGGAAGTTCATTATGATGCATGTGCTCATCCAAGGCCCGAAGCAACCTGGCAATGACATCGATGTGTACCTGAGACCACTTATTGACGAACTTCTCATTTTGTGGAATAAAAAAGGTGTACGTGTGTGGGATTAGTACAAACAGGAACACTTTGATCTGCGAGCATTGTTGTTCGTAACAATCAATGATTGGCCTGCTCTAAGTAATCTTTCAGGATAGTCAAACAAGGGATATAATGCATGCACACACTGCTTCGGTGATATTAGAGGTGTATTCTTGAAAAAATGTCGAAAGGTCGTGTACCTTGGCCATCGTCGTTTTCTTCCTGCAAATCACCCCGTAAGAAAGAAAGGCAAGCATTTTAAAAGGAAGGCAGACCACCTGACCAAGCCTCACAACCGAACCGGTGAGGATGTACTCGATATGGTCAATGATGTGAAAGTCGTCTTTGGAAAAGGACATGGCAGCCAACCTGTTCCGAACGACGCTAACGGTCACGCATCCATGTGGAAGAAGAAGTCCATATTTTGGAAGCTACCCTATTGGCAAGTCCTAGAGGTCCGCAGCT